GCAGTCTCTGGACAGTTGTCTAGGTACTGGCCAGCAACCTCTGTCGTAGGCTCATGTGGTTTGGGAGTTCCTTTGTGGTGTGCGCACTCTTCTCCACATGGCCTAGAGGTAAGGCCAGTTGTGACCCTTACCGGCGGTTGCCTTTTGCTGCTTGTGCAACATACCAGGATTCTCTATACTTTGGGCAGAATTTGATGATGTGACCAGGATCATCGCAGTAGATGCACTGACCCTGATCAATCCACCGTTGCCACATTGACTGCTCTAAGCCCAAATCTTCCCATGGCCTGCCTTGCGGCAAGCCTGGATGCCATCCACCTCGACGTGGAGGTGACCTATAGGATCGTGAGCGATTTGGCGGTGGACCTTGACCCCTACCTCCCTCTTGGCGGTTTCCTCTGCCGCCAACCCCCTGAGTGCCCTGTCCTCGTCCACCTGAGGCCCGACCCCCTCAACTTCCTTGCGGCCTCCCTCCAACCGTGACAGTTGCGTAAGTCCTCCCCTGACCCCCACTACTGTCCCCCTCATCTAGGCCCCACTCTATCTGGCTATATGGGACCTTATTTGTACCACCTTCATCTAACGTAAGGATCAAATGATCCTTTCCCTTTACCTGACCTGAGATGGTACAACCCTTTCACTTTTTACCTTTATCTAAGTCCTTGTGCCAGAAAGCGGAAACTGGCATGGACTGCGCCTCGAACAGCACCACCTCTTTACTCAATGCATCGTATGTCATGGTGGGTTGTCGACTCTTCTCAAAGAAGTGCACCCGTAGGGGCTCTGGCATGGCACGATAGAAGAGATTGACCAACTGGGGTTTATTGACCCCGTGGTCTGGGACGGCTACAAGCTCGTCCATTACGCCTTTGAGTGCTCTGGTACTCCTCCACTGGCATGAGTGGATAGTTTGCAGTTTGTCAGAGGCCCTAACGCCTCGCGTGACATCTGCGAATCGCTCCTTAAGGAGCCGAAAGAACTCAGGGAGAGGGGTGACTTTAGAGTAAGCGACCCTGTTATTATCGCACTGTGTAGCGCGAGCGAGCAATCTAGCAAAGCTGGCGGCCTCATCCTTGAGGGCCTGGAAGGCTATGAGGACTTGTTCCTGGCACGATATGCTGTAAATAAATGTATGTATTTATGTTGGCCTCCCAATTATCAAAWTTTTCTTCTTTCTTCCCGCCGTAGGACTTAGGAAACTTTATCTTAACGAGCTCTCTACGGGGGCGTGGCTCTTCCTCCTTCGGCACAACCAGCTTTGCGCCCTCAATGGCGCCTGTGCAAAACTTCTCAGTGCCCTCTATTCTCGCCTGCACTTCTGCACCTACGTGCAACATCATCTCACGTGCAAAATCCCTAAATCCCAGGCGGATGGAGTGCAAGACGATGTCCTGGGCTCTAGAGAATTGGTGTTGCTCGTCCTAGGCTCTGGCGAGGAGTCCTATGTTTCTCGAAATAACATCTAACTTTACCTGTATATCTTCTTGCGCCTGAAGCTCCTCCATCTGCGCCTTTATCACCTCCAACTCCCTCGCCACCTTGTTTGCCTCCTCCATCCTTCTCTTTTTTTCCCCTTGTGAGACGCAGTTTCCATTCCAACTTCTTTTCCTCCTCTATAGTCTAATGTCTCAGAGGGTCTTTTTCCGCTTCCCACTCCCTGATTACGGCTTCCTTCTCCTCTGGGGGAACATATAACATGGCCTCTTCCTCGTCTCCCAGAGATAAATTAGCTACCCACTCGGACACTTTCTTCTCCAGCCATGATGCGTCCTTCTTCGTGCCGCTAGTTTCACCTCTCTGCTCCGCACTTCTTCTGAGCAAAGGTTCTTCTTTCTTCTTCTTCTTCTTCTTCTATCTCCTCCTCTTCCACTTCCTTCATCTTCTCTTCCTCCTCCTTCTTCAATTTTTTCATCTCCTCCTCCATCTTCTTCTTCTTCGCCGCCCGCTCCTCCTGCACGGCCAACTTCTTAGCCTGTCTAATTAACTCCTTAGTCTCTTTCTCTTTTCTCTCCCGCAGTATGGCGGCGGCTTGCTCTTCCTGAGCTTGGGTGTAAGGGGTGGTGCTCTTGCCACTACGCGTCTTGACCGTGGTGAAAGGTGCACAACCAAAAATCAGTTCCACTTCTCACCACTTAGACTCACACCCCTGACTGACTCAACTTAGGACTGACTCGATCTAAGGACCACAGAATCTTAGCAAGATCCTGTTAGGGTCTCTAGCCTAGACCTAAACTAAGGCTGTCACTACAGGACTTATTGCTGATCAGGAGGCATTCAAGGAGATCCCCTGTAACTCCTTAGGAGTTATTTAACGTCGCAAACAGGACGACGCGATCAGCAAGTCCTCTCAAGCCGTAGACAGCTTGTTGTGCAGCACACAACTTGGATTTTGGGCCTACCATGCCACACCGAGCAGCCCGCCAGTCAGTACCGGTCCTTGGGAGGGTTCGTGTCCTCCGGGTCAGTCGAGTCGTCAGACACAGTCTTTAGCCCTACTCAGCCCGTGTGGGTTTGGTCAACAAAGCCCTATGACCACATATACAGAGTTCCTATCACCTAGACAAAAGAGACTCAATGCAAAAAGAAGAGACAGACAGACTCAGCAAGTACCATGGGGTGAGTGCACATCCATAGGGCGTGGGGATAGGCTGAAGGCTTGGCGAGAATATACCAACTCCAGCTTGGTCAAATTCGTGGTCAGCAGCTCTGGTCAACGCCTTGGTCAACGCTTGGTCAACGCCGGTCGATGCCTTGGTCAATGCCTAAGTCAACTCTCATGTCAACTTCGGTCAACCCCTCGGTCAAGGCTTCGGTCAACCCTCGACTTGGCTAAGGCTGCCGCCACTTTCTTCCTCACCAACCCTCGCTTCTCTTCTTCCCACCTTTCTTCTTCCTCACTTTCTTTCTCTCTGCATCCCTGCTATTTCTTTCTCTCTCTTTTTTTTTTTTTTTTTTTTTTTTTTTTTTTTTTTTTTTTTCCGTCTCTCCCTTCTTCTCCCTCGGTTACGGTTTCTCTCTCCTTCGTTAAACCTCCCTATTTCTTCCCTTCACTTTCTCCTTTCCTTTTAACCCTGTGCCCGAGCTCTG